AATCTCTCGCCAAAACGGACACGAGCAGTTTCCGAATTCATAAAAGACAAGTTATTTTCGCTCAAAAAAAAAAAGAAATAAGCTGAAACTTGTGAAAGTGAAAGTACGCCAGCTACCTTTCAAAAAGAAATCTGAGCTTCTTTGATCAAGAAAACGGGGAACAGGATGGTCTTGTAATCGGAAAAGTGCGAGTGTTTGCGGTGTAGAAGTTTGCAAGTGAAGTTCTCAGTGCCATGATCGGACAAAACAATCTTCACCTTTTAATTTTCGAACTTCTGTGTGATTAACCTTTATCCCCTTGGACTCTCACTTAATTTTACACTTTCTTCTAATAAAAAAATACATAATAAGATACTCTGAAATTTTGAGGAAATGGATTAGTAATATGGTTTTCGCATGTGAAAAACTGCACAAACCCTTTCGTTGATGAGAACAAAACCGAAAAGGACGAAATCATTCACACTAACAGTAAAATCTCCGGAACAACACTTCCTTGCCTTTAGAAAAACAGAATTTTCGAACATTAAGGAATTGAGCGAAAAACTTACTAATACTGAAGAATCATATTGGAAGAGTTGTATCGATAGCCCAGGAGAAAAACTAAAATTTCCTCAACCGAGTAGAATTTTCAGACAAAAAATCGTGGTAGAAAACTTACAAAAATTCAGCTACGATAGTTATCCCTCTATACATGTTTATAGTGCCGATTTTCAAAAAAAAAAAAAAAATAAAAAGTTAGAATTTCCGAAAAGTTTTCTGTAGAGGCTGTGTTGAGCTAAACGAAACTCTTCTACCGAAATTTTTTGCCAATCTTTGAGGCGATTAAGCGTTCTTTCTCATGAAAATACTAAATTCCCATTATTCTAGAAATGCCGCAGCAGCACAATCTAAGATAGATCGCTCGTGATACTGAGCCTGCCTGATCTCTATCAATTCGAAAGCGGATATCTTTGAAGAAATCATTGGGGAGAAAGTCACTTTCAATCGATTGGGTAATGAAAAGAAAAAAAGATTTCAAAGAGGGCTGTGAAAGGGAAATCTTCCTCAGTTAGTGCCTAAAAGGGTAGTTTTTTTTNTTTTTTTTGGGATCTTTTTTTCCACTGACGAATGGACATGAAAACTCCAAAAACTGGGTTCTAGAAATGATTTTTGTGAGCACTTCTTGAAAGCAGCAATCGCAATCGAATAAACAAATTAAATCGTGACCAAGAGATTGTGAGACGCAAAGAAACAGAGTTCTCAAAAAAGTGACTTGGACAGTGAATCAACACAATGATGTTAATGACAAATGGAAAGAGATCTGGTACGATTCGATCAATTCCTATCTCTCCCTCTCTCCCGGATATACCGCCTCCCGTACTCTACTGGTACCAGTTCGATCTGGGGACGATAAAAAGTGATTGAATTGCATGTTGGCTTGTTCTCATAAGTCATTATATGGGCCACATATGCATTCAAACGCCACTACGATCCCAAATGGAAGTCAGATACCTAGGCGTATCTCAAGAACGGCCATTCTGACTGAATACACATGAAAATCTGGGGACAGACACCATTTTTCCGCAATAAATATCAAATTTGAGCAGAATTATTCCGATTTACTATGGTTCTTAGGTGATGAAGTACCAGTTGTTGTCTACAACCAAATTCTCAGTGTGAGACAGGCCAATATAGTAAGAATCGATGAATTTTCGAGAAAAATGTGAAAAAAAGAATAAAAATTCTGATTGTTTCAATCCATACTAGCCTATACGTGGGAGATACCCCCTTACGCTTCAACACCAATGAAGTACAGTAACCAAATTCTACAAAAAAAAAATTCAAAATGAATAATTTGAAAGAATAATATTACAGTAAACTGTCTTCAACAAAGTTTTTTCTCATGGCCAAACGTTTTTCAACTGAATAAAAACCGTCAGAGAAGAAATAACCTTGACGCAATACGCCTCGTTAACCATACGCACCTACGGTAACTACAGTGTGCAACAATGACGGCGATACATGGCGATACAATTAAAGGAGACCTTTAATCACGTGATAACGTATCAATTACCGTACTCCGAGCTACAGTATTTCAGGAATATAACGATTTTTGAAACCCACCACAGTATGCTATGAATAGCCCGGTTTTTCAGGCGCAATGTTGCTATATGTGTGTGCGAGTGCGTGAGTGTGTGTGCGTGTGTGTGTAGCAAGCGAGTTGGGCGTTGGTGGTGGGGTAGCAGGGGAAGGCGATGATGGACGTCGCGGCGGCGGCGATGGGACGCACGCGGCTGCTGCTACCGCCACTGTTCTCATTGAACTTTGCGCTTTGTTCAGCAACATCGACAACCGGCTACCATCGCTACCCCACAACCACCCCACCACCAGCACCCACAACAGCGACGAGAACGATGATGGTGAGACGTCAGGCCAGCGTCCATCTCACCCACTCTCCCATGAGGGCGGACGACGACCGACCGACAAGGACGCACTGCACTTCACAATGTTCACGGTTACCGGGATGACCGTGCTTACGTCACCGGACATAGCGGACACAGTTAGTTGATGACAGTTGGGTGCAAGTGAAAGAACAGCATATGTGATAGGTATGACCACATTACCTTTCCCTATTACCTGTCAGTAATCGATTATTTGAACTATCGATCGCAAATTGCCTAAACAAAACCTGAACGGTTGACCAGTACAAGAGGGATCTCTTGAAAACCAATTTTCTGGATTGTCGAACTACAAGCTAGATTGTTTAGAAGCCACCTCAGACGGAACAGAACTTGATATAAGTGGTAATTCAACAGCTGAACTAATCGATAATCGACTGAAATTGACTATTCGATCGATTATCGATCGATGTACGGCTATTTGATTGATTAATCATTTGGAAAAGGTGCTGAAGAGTTAGAAAAAAATTGATCATTAAAGAAAAGACAGCCAAAAGGATGTATGGATGGTCCCGAAAAGCATGTCAATCATGACCACTACCGTACCGCTATTATCCCTACCGAGTAATTAGTTAATGTCAATATTGACTCCTATTTGTGGTATTGGATTACAGTACCGCCAGGGGAAATAATACTGTAGACCAGTCAGTAATCGGGAACTTGCTGTAATCGGAAATAGTCAGGGAACCGTCCCGAATATTCGATAAATTTGATGGGAGTGTGAGAAGCACGAGGGAATGATAAGATATCACTCGGCGGATCTCTGGCATATCGATTTTTTCCACATGTTTAAAAAAAATAACTGAAATTGCAAAAATTCCAATAGCTTGCCTGAATCCTTTTCTAGGATAGGAATAAATCAGGAATAGTCGTCTGAAGTTGGAACAGAAATCGATTGAGCAAACTGATATTCGATACTGATCAGAATGACGTCATAGGCACATAGCAGCAGCTCAAACCAACCAACAGGTGTTGTCGTATGGGAAGAAGTCCGATCTATGATCCAGTCAAAATCGTTTTCGCGTCCTCCGGTCGGTCGCTCTCACTCTCACCACCGGCTGGCTGACTGGCTGGCGTAGCCGTCCGTCGTCGTTGGTTGTCGTTGTTCCACGAGTTGTCGCTAAGGTGAAAAATCACCGATCACTCTGGAATTTTTACACATTCGTAGTTATTCTGGAAAAACCGACTAGCAACACCATCGAAAAGAAGGAAAAACACGAAGAAACGATTGATAAGAAAGGAGACCAATCAATAACACTGATAACCTCATGATAAGAAGGATATCTGTACTATAACCGATTATACTTTTACTACTATGCCCGTAAAGATCAATAATCACTGATATATTCATAGCCGACGTGAGATATGGTATATGACATAATAAAAATCAGTCCAAGTCGAGAAAAAAATGATAACCGTCCAGGTGATTCAAATCGTGCGATAACGGTTGATCTATCGGTTCGAACCCACTGAACCGTCGCTTTAGCACGACCAGGGGGAGGCTCGTTTCCAGTGGTCGTCCCTGAGTAAAAATCCGATCTATCTGGGTGATCAGGGAAAAATGGTCTGACTGTAGGCCATAGTAACTACTGACCGCCGTGGTCGCCACTGCCAGCCGGCCATTTGGTCAATGATGACGTGCCGCCGTCATAGCGGCAGCGGACGCCTCGTGGTCGGTCGGTCGGGCTCGACGATTGCAACACTGTGTGTGTGTTAGTTGAACGATCGATCGAGTATAGCGATGCGCAAACACACACACACACTTTGTGAGTATACCGTTTCCGAGAAACCCAGAGATACAAAAGCGACGATATGAACTGTGAGCCAGTGCAGAAGGAACCGTACGCGCTGACCAAATCCGCTGAAAAACCTTCACCAAAAACTTAGGGGTCAGGAAATCAGAAGACGGTACGGTAGGTGGTTTGCTCCATTCATAGATGACTAGGGCTCCTTTCAGCAGTAGTATAAGCTACTATAGATGGCGGCAATGTGCGGCACGGTTATTCAAAGCCCTAGCTAAAGAGGTTTTATTAAATTTTGAAAACGTGAATTGTCCACAAAATTTGGCCGCTATTCATGTGACAATGCACAGGCATAATGGAATCTGGGCGCACTTCAACGGCTCTATGTGTATGCGTCGTTGTGTGTGGTGTGTGCGAGTGTGTTGAATCAAATGGGGTCAATGATCGAGTCCGACGAAATCTCGTTTCCAGCGCATCCTAACGCTGGTTTTCAAGCAGCAACCACCACCATCACCATCACGACAATCTAACCAACCGCCTATATACATAGGATATAAGCGCGTAGTCCACAAAAACCGGCGATCCACTGATCCTGGACGGTCTCCAAGAAAAAAAACTACCAAATCAACCATGAACATCATAATGTCACGCCATATAGCTCGGCTAAATCCTAGTGATTTTTGCTTACAGTAAAAGAACAGCTACTGTAGGTCATAACTTCACGATGATTACAGTGACATGAATAAAAAGCCTGATTCTCCATGATTCTCCAAAGATATGGAGCTAAACAACTACCGCATAGGATTTGTTGGGGCTCATTATCCAGGGAGTCAAGGTCCAGTAACAGTGGAGGTACTGCACCAGCCACTGGTCTACCTGGATGTAAACAGCATTACCTAGTTCGGGATATAGTGTACGAAATAAGCAACTAAGCTTCATATCCTACCAAAAAAANAAAAAAAGGAGTGGACCATCGCCGAGAGGCGCACCCTTCACTTTTGCGACCCATGAATGGAAAACCTCTAGCTAAAACTTATGTCTCTTGGATCCAGTTAATTTGGACCAGGTCTAGCTGAGAGAACTGAGGCCTTTTTTCCATGTACCATCCTCTAAAGGCTATTGCATAGGCCAAATCCGCTTTCAAACACCTCTACCCAATCACTGTATGTAAACAAATGCGTGGCGTATCTGAGAAAGAGTGAGCGACGTGTCTACGCACCGTCTCCTATTTCACCCCATCCATGACAGCCATAGTCAAGCCCGATCGATATATTGATTCTCATATACGAAGATAATATCTCGTAGAATGTCTAACAATCGGTTAACGAAGAACTCATAAATCTTTGATGGAAGGATTTAGGGGCACTATCGGTCTCATAGACGGACGTCAACGTCGGCTCCATCTCCTTGATAGGCTTTCCATTTGACAAGTTGAATCGGATAGATTAAGACCATAAATTATTTCAGAATTTAATTGAAAGAAATTCAAATAGAAAAGAAAAAATCAATTTGGAAAAATTTGAATTTAAATGATTTTGAAAGAAAAACCATCCAAACCTCCCAGGAAATCTTAAAAACTATCCGGGCAACCGGACAAGCTATTAAAATATTTGAATAAATCGCTTTTATCAGCCAAAGACTATTACCAAATGCAACATTGGACGAGCCTTTCAGCCAGACAACAACGAGTTTCCATGGGAAACGTCGTTTTATGTGTTCCGGTAGACCATTCTACGATTAGACGATGAAAGTACAAGAAAACAAAACCATCAAACAGTCTATCTGAGATACCCTCCTTCCCAGGATGCCAAGTACGCCCTGACACCGCATAACACTCAACTTGCCTTAAAGTCCAGCATGCACAAAGTCTAGCAATCCAATGGGCCATTCCAGTACATCAGCACAATCCCGAACCAATGATGTTGATGATTAAATAGCCGGAACATCGTCAGATGGTGTGGAATGACGAAATTAGGGAGTAAGGGTGGCCGTCGTGATGATTCGGAAAGCGCCACTAATGAGCCAATTGCACCCCACTATGTCCGCTTCCATCACAATCACCATCGGAATCATCGTTGGGTCCGAACTTCACACCCAATCTCCACGAGGCCACCAAGGCTCGAAGACCAACTGAAGATTCATGGCTTTAAATAGCTCGTTTACAGCCACGAAAAGAAATGAATCGTGTAGAACAATGATGAATCATCTTCGAGAGGCTGTTCATTGGATCTGTTCCATAATCATGCCTCTCAAACATCCCAGCGATTAAACTGATTAAAACTGTGCTCGGTTCACCAAGAGAAGTAACCGAATTCTCTGAACCCGGCAAGGAGACCGTTACGGAGAAGGAAGACCCAGTAAAAAATTCAGAGATATCGAATGAAAGTCGAATACATGGCGTATCCCAGTCGGATGCATGGCGTCTCCCATCTCATTGTGTTGCACCCCCTTCGATATTCAGTTCTTTGACCGTTTAGATTTTCTACTGGATATACAGGCACTTAAGAGAGCCAGCGCACGATATGCAACCTATAAGAACCCTTGAAGCCCTAGTTTTCGGATTATGCCGTCCACTTATCTGGCACTCAAAATTGTCGTAATGATTAAACGGGTATTATGCGGACGCAGTTGAACTTTTTTGAGCCAACATTGTAGCAATTGAAATTCGTTCAATGAATATGGATACTTCTTGAGAATCTTACTTTTCTCTGCTTCTTCTACTTGTTTGTTTGTTGATTTTGTCTCATATTTATCCTACTTTCCACCAGATTATTCCTCTGTTTGAGACAATCTACAGACGTCCTTTATCCTTCAAACTTTATTGCCAAGGATGTTCGGCTTGAAAGCTTCGTCAGCATCATTCATCAGGGTGTAATCTACATGTTTATTCAACGTTCAAGAACCGTAGATGATCGATCTTTACAAAGACGACGTGTGCTTCGGTCATTACGACCAATCTCAGAAGGACACAAGAGAGATCTTGAGCGCTCGGTTGGCGAATTAGACCTTTTGAAGGACAAATTGCTATCGTGGGCTAATGCTTACTTTAGAGACCGTCCTTGGACCGTTCAGGAGGATGAAACTCGTGCACATACGGGAAGGGTGGTACAGAATTTGGGAAGCATTGTAACATCAGGATTTCATGGAGTTTACGAGTCACTGGGACTTCCTCCATGGCCGATCGGACGATCGAGGTATAAAAAAGGCTTGAAATCTTTCTCGGTCATGTCTACTTGCCGAAAAAAAAGTGAGTAAAAACTATATGAATGGCACTTGAAAGAATCTATTTCTTCACCGTTCGCCATCGAAATAGCAATTTAACCCCCTGACTCCACTTCAATCCTTCCATTGTGTAAGATCAGTTACTGTTGTGTTACAAAAATATAAAATGAAAAAAATTGCGATTTTCAAACAAAAAAAAACTCGAATTTTTTCAGCCCCGATAAGCGGTGCTTATGAACTGAACTATGA